TTAATGCTGCACTGTTGCGTTGGCAAGCAGTGTACGTTCTGAGATTTGACAAATCTCAGAGCAGTCTAAGATTACTGTAAATGGAAACCCTATAAAGATAGAGTTTTGTTTGCAAACCTAAAGCTGCATTCCACAGCAGTGTGGTATCTTATTCTGGTGTACACTTCTAGTAAAATATGCTGCCTCAAGGTTGTGTAACTTCACATCTGATTATGTATTCATCAAGACAGTTATTATTGTGTCAATCTAACTTGGATGCACAGAGAAACTGAACTTTCACTGGTTTTTGGTCAGTGAATGATAAAGGCCATCTCCATGGTAAAGGACGTGATCCCATTTGAGAAGAGTTAAAGCTGCACTATAGGAAGCGTGAGAGAACTAGCCTATAGCCCACTGGCACTCCGCCCTGCATTGAGGAAGTGACTTTTTCTTTCCTTTTCCTTCACAGACGGAGGCAATTCAAGTGTATCCCACAGGCTCTGCAGGCTGTTATGTTTCTTTTTTTTCCTGCATTGTTTTTGTTGCCATAACCTCCGATAAAAAACTTCAGCTGTGGCCCAGCAATCCTGTAACAGTCCACTGCAATCTGGATCAAAAGCTCCTTTCATAAAGCGAGAGCTAGCCCGCACTAATCACATTCTGCCATATCAACCAGACAAGTACTATTTGCTATAAATAACTCGAGCTGCTTGCTACTGTCAAATGCTGCACTTTCATTTCCGTTTCACCCTTTACACACACAAACATACATGCACAGACAGACCTCAACATAGTCACCAGCAATACTTACTGGTCCTATTTTAAATGTTTGTATGCCTACATCCTTTTGAACTTGTGTCTGTCACATGTCCTCACAGAGCTCCACTGTGTGGGCTTTGACCAACCCAACCAGGGTAGACGAGACAGACATGGGGACTGGTGTTTTTGAAGGACAGAAACATTAGAAACTACTAATTAGTTCCCAACACATTCTACTGGATAAACTATAAGTAGGCCAGTTTGTGCTAGTTGGCCACTGTGAAAGGGCTGAGTGACCTTTTGGAAACACACAGACATCTCAATCTCTCTTTCAGTTTACTTTCATTCATTTTATTCTGCACAGGCCTTCAGTATTTTATCAATTGATACATTTCTACATAAGCAATTAAGCAAGCTCAGCTGTGTGTTTTTGTGTATGACTTTACGGGTCGCAAAGCTGATCTTACCCTTGACCGTAGTCTCTATAGAAACCGCACTGACCCAGGAGGCACTTAAGTTACAAGGAGAGGGGTTGTGACAGGGAAGTGGTTTCCTGGCTCTGACTGGGAGAATAAAGTGGGAATCTGTGACTGGCCTGCCCTCTGGACTATTTCATTCTCTGTTGCACAGAGGAAGCCACACGGACCAGTGCCAGGCTGCAGAGTCACATGTCCACCATTCACACATGCCCACACATTTTGAAATTTCTGAATAAATACAGCTAGTGTGTTGGGTTTTTTAGGCCTTTAACAATTTCACTGCTATCAGGCCACGCTCTTGGTAACATGCTGATGCTGAAAGCAAATGTGCTGCTTAAATAAGTAGGCTAAGAAAGAAAATCTCATCCAAGAGCTTAACATGTCTGAAAATCTCTACTGCATGTTTTCAACTTTCTTAGTTCAGAAGTCAGACACTCTTGATGGATGGATGATCATTCCAGTAACATGTAGGTCAGTGGATAAGCCTATCTATGTTGAAGGCAGTGCGGTTCTCATTAGTGTGCTGCCTTCCAGATTACTCTTGGGGGGACTCCAGCCAGATAGACAGCCAGCCCAGCAGTGCCACAGTTATCCAGCCCATTTCACTGTCTCTTTATTTTTCTTGAAGGGACACTTTCTTGTAGAGGAAGGTAAAGAGAGCACGTTACTGGCACAAAAGAATGACCAATGGTGTCATGAAGAAGGTAGGAGATTGAAATACATCAGTCCACTGCACCAGCAGCCTATGGAAGAAAT